CGAACCCTAACTCTAACCCTAAACTGAACCCTAACCCTAAATCTAAACCTAACCCTAACCCTAACCCTAACCCTAACCCTAACCCAGCACTTTGTGAGCCTCGCTCGGCCCTACTCGCGCAGCCGGGGCTCCCGACCCCAGCGCCTCTGGTCTGGGAGGAATCCTCGTCCGTATCCGATTTTGGCCCTCGGTCGGCCCCGGGACGCCAGGACGCCTGCCCGCAAACGACAGTCCTTTTTACCCAAAAGGGAGGGCCTGACCCTCCGGCTCTCGCCTGCCCTTTGTGCGCCTTGCTCGACTCTACGCCCGCAGCTGGGGATCCCAGCCCCCTCGCCTCTGGTCTGGGAGGAATGCTCGATCGAGTTCAATTTTGGACAAGGGCCAGCCACGGGCAGCCTACGGCGCCTGCCCGCGAGTGATGGCCCTTTTTGCCCAGATGGAGGGGCCTGACCCTCCGGCTCTCACCTGCTCTTTGTGCGCCTCGCTCGGCTCTACGTGCCCAGACGGGGCTCCCGGCCCCAGTGCCTCCAGTCAGGGAGGAATCCTCGACCGTATGCAATTATGGCCCCCGGATGGCTGGCGCACCAGTCCGCGAACAAGGGCCTGTTTTCCCCAAAGGAGGGGTCTTACCATCCGACTCTCGCCTGCCCTTTGTGTGCCTCGCTCGGCTCTACACGCGCAGACGGGACTCCCGGCCCTGGCGCCTTGGTTCTTGGAGGAATCCTCGACGGTACCTGATTATGGAGCTCGGCCAGCCCCAGGCTGCCCAAGGCGCCTGCCCGCAATCGACGGTCCTTTTTGCCCAGAAGGAGGGGCCTGACCCACCGGCTCTCGCCTGCCCTTTGTGCGTCTCGCTCAGCTCTATGCGCACAGATGGGGATCCCAGCCCGGGCACCTCCGGTCCGGGAGGAATCCTCGACCGTATCCGATTTTGGCCCTCGGCCAGCCCAGGGACGCCAGGACGCCTGCCCGCGAACTACAACCCTTTTTTGCCCTGGAGGAGGGGCCTGAACCTCCGGCTCTCACCTGTCCTTTGTGCGCGTCGCTCGGTTCTACGCGCACAGCCGGGGCTGCTGGCCCCATCGCCTCCGGTCTGGGAGGAATCCTCGACCGTATGCAATTATAGCCCCCGGACGGCTGACGCTCCGGCCTGCGAACGACGGCCCTTTTTACCAAGAAGGAGGGACCTGACCCTCCGGCTCTCGCCTGCCCATTGTGCGCCTCGCTCGACTCTACGCGCGCAGACAGGGCTTCCGACCCCGGCGCCTCTGGTCTGGGAGGAATCCTTGACCGTATCCGATTTTGGACCCCGACCGGCCCCGGGCCGCCCAAGGCGCCTGCCCGCGAACGACAGCCATTTTTGCTGAGAAGGAGGGGCCTGACCCTCCAGCTCTCGCCTGCCCTTTGTGCGCCTCGCTCGACTCTGCGCGCGCAGACGGGGCTCCTGGCCCCAGCGCCTCTGGTCTGGGAGGAATTCTCGACCATATCCATTTATAGTACCCTGATGACTGGCGCACCGGCCTGCAAACGACAGTCCTTTTTGCCCAGAA